GCGCATAATCATAGATATCAATATGTGACCCAACTCCCTCCCCCTGGTAACCCCATCCCATAGTCCAATCCGCACAAGCCTCAGGTGTCACGTGGGTTCCATCTTCAAAAAGCATCGTCAGGTTGGTATGCCGGACAGTTGGCCTTGGCAGACAAATTCACTATCTGCAGCATGCGCAGTAGATGGTGAGAACAAGACTCCCTTTTTACAATCACTCCTGTACTTAAGACTTCCCCTCCCAAATACCATGCCTCCCTCTCCCTGTTTCAATGACAGCCAAAAGCAAGTAGCGAAGCAGAGGCTGACACCGAGTCAGGCCAGGGCCTTTCAGGATTGGGACGGCTTGTAAGCAGGGAGGAACGGGGGCAGGATAACCAAGAGAGGCTAAGCAATGAACATGAGGAGCAACAGAGCTCAGGTGATGAGCAAGAATCACCCACTCCTGATCCTCGAGCATGGAGAGTAGAGAGGAGGCAGAAACAGAATAGGCTGACTCGACTACTCGGGAGGAGAGCACCCCGCCCCTCTTCACAAGGCACACCTGGGGACTGAGGTGTGAGACTGGATTTCTTGCTTTACAGTGTTGTGCTGGGCTACTTGCAACCATAGGCTGCTGGAGGTTTGTGTGTGTGTGTGTGTGTGTGTGTGTGTGTGTGTGTGATCATTTTGCTCTGGGACGTGCCAGAAACGTGGGAGCATTTGGGGGAAAGGTTGGAGCAATAAAGGGGGCAGTTTGAACTATCAGCTGATTGTTTTGCTTCTGTGCCATGCCCTTGGTCATCACAAGAACATTGTTACCTTCCCACCAGAGTGGTACCTATTAATCTACTCACATCTACATACTTTCAAACTGCTAGCGGGGCAGAAACAGGGGGAAGGCTCACCCCATCATGCAGCTCTTGGGTCTCAAACCCAGGCTGTCCAGCTGCAAGCTCAGCATCTTTAACCACTGACCCATTGCAAACCCCCAAGGGGGCCTTTACAAAAAAACANTTAAGTGTGCCATGTTAAAAGCTTATTTCATGCTGCAGGGAGGATATTTTAATTTTCTGGTAGATTGGCTCTCTTTTGCTACAATGAGAATACAAGCCCATCTTGAGAAGTGAATGTACAAGAGTGAAGTGATAGCTCTGAATGTGAACTTTTGATTAAGGCTTGAGTCCTATGACAACTAGTAACTGCTTCCCCTTCCATTGTGGCAGCACCTAAAGCTTATCAGACATAGCTTTGCTTAATGGTTACCTTCCAAGAATGGATTAGTGCAGAAAAAACACAAGTTGAACCTCTATAAATACTACCTAGGTACAAAATTAAAGAAAAGGGAAAGCTTGCAGTCCTGCCCATGAACCATTTGAGTGAATTCCTATAACTATACTGTTTTCACAGCAATATTTAGAGTCTGGTGCTTTTTCTTAACAAAAAAATACTCTTGTTTTATTCTGTTAGTATGCCTTGTCTAATTTTGGATCGCCCTTCCATCCTGGAAGTTGTAAGAAGCTGTTTCCTTTTAAAATCTTTTCTTCAAACTTTGTTTTTATTTTTTTTAGTAAATATAGGTTTACTATATTTGTAAACCTATATTTGTAAATTATACATTTTGTAAAGCGATTTGTTCATGTAGGCAGGTCTCTGCCTCTTTATTTTTCTATTGGACAGAAACCTGGCATGCAGGGATGTGGGGGTGGGGAGGGGGAGAATATGTCTCTAGAATCTTTTCATTACAAATAAAGGCTATAATATGTTTTAAAAAATGCTAATTAGAGCGGAGAAGTACTTCATAACATATGTTAATATGAAGGAAGCATCCTTCACTCTACCATTAAAGTAGCTGCAACCTTTGAAGAGTCAAATATTTGCTTTGAAGGCTTGCCTGGATTTTATGTTCATGCTTTGTGGCTCCACAGATAATACTTGTGCAGGGACCACCAGTGAACTCAAGCTTCTGTTGATGATCAGAGATATGAAGGCAGCTGGGGATAGCCTCTGAAGTGACCACATAAGCTTTTCAAAGGACACAGCTGCTTTAACACTTTGAGAAGAGATGTTTTGTTCATGCTAACTTGCTTGCTTTTAGCATTTTTACCATCTTTACCTGTGATGCAAGTTGCTTTATGCCACACAAATTATTTAAATTATTAAAGACCTAAATAATATTCAAGTTGTCTGTGTCTTTATTCAGTGAAATTGTGTTTATAATAAAGCTGAACATACTTTCTGAGTCAGATATTATCTGGAATTGGTTACAGATATTGAGGTTTCTTCTGCCAGTGCTGATTCAGGTTTTATATAGTTATAATGCTGTCTTGAGAATCAGTTTGGTGTAGTTTTGGTGTAGTGGTTAGGGAACCAGGAGATTGTGAGTTTTAGTTCTGAGTTAGGCACAAAGTTGGTGACAGTCACTTTCTTTCAGCCCAAGGAAAGAGGAAATGGCAAACCACTTCTGAAAAACTTTCCAAGAAAACTACAGTGACTTGAATACTGAAATCCATAAGACTAAAAATCAGAGTAACTTTTGAACTTCCAGTTAATTCTTTCTTTTATGCAAATATTTATGATATTCCTTGAAAACAGTAATTACTATATGTAATCTTATATAGGCATCCTCTAGCCTACATGGAAATAGTTCTACACAGATACTATATTAGATTGCTTCGTTTAAGGGAAATGAAACTTTTCTTGGTCTACATTTCATAGGCGAAATCTTTGGAGGACACCTACAGAGTCTGTCTTGTAACTTAATATGTTAGAGATGGAGTAAGAGTGTAAAATTCTTGTATCCATTAAATGACCTGTGAAAAATGGCATAGGCAGTGAAAACATTTGGCCCCATCCTTTGTACTTCTTTATTAAAGCTGTCGGTGGTATTTTTTTTTCTCTTTTAGGAAACTCTAGGAAGAGACTGATGTGCTCAGTATGCAATAAGAGGTGCTCTTCAACAGCAAATCTTCAAGAGCATCGAAAGGTCAGTTGAGTGAGGGTTGACCCCCAGTAGGTTTCAACTTTTCTAGGGTAGAGGCCAGAGAGATCAGTCCCTTGAGAGCTGCTAAAACACAAATTATCCAGGTTTTTTTTTCCAGCTGATGAACACAGTAGTCTGAAACCTAAGTATTTATTTTCATTGCCATGTTAAATCAAAGTTAAAGCAAAACACTATTTTGTATTTCTTTCCTGTCCTGGAGATAGCAATTTAGCGTTAGATATATATTACATTTTACTGTATAGTCAGAATGCTTAAAATTGTGAAAAGATGGTAAATAAATAGGAATAATTTAATAGCCATTTAAATCAAATGATTCTTCTTTTAACAAATGTCTCTCTTGCATTATTTGTTTTACTAAATATTATTAGCACTGTTAGTCATGCAATTTAGTGCGTTTATCCTGTACTAAAATATTTATATTTAATTGACCATGAACATTATTTGAAAGAAGAAGCCAAATTACAGATCTTAAAGAAAAGAAATATCTGTTTCAGCCTGTCAATGAAAGAGGAAGATAAAGCAAAGTAAAAGTAAAGGTTTCCCCTATTCACTTGTGTCCCACTGTAGGGGGCAGTGTTCATCTCCATTTCTTAGTTGAGAGAGACAGCATTGTCTGAAGGCATTTCTGTGGTCATGTGACCAGCATGACTAGATGCCGAGGTGCACAGAATGATGTTACCTCCCCACTGAAATGGTACCTATGTATCTACTTGCATTTTCATGCTTTCAAACTTCTAGATGGGCAGGAGCTGGGGCAGGCACCCCATTGCGCAGCATTTGGGTTTTGAACCTGGGCTGTCAGCGTCTTTAACTGCTAAGCCCTTATGTCCCTGATAATTAAATATTTTTGTCTATGAACATTGTTTGAAAGAAGAAGATAAATTATAGACCTTAAGGAAAAGAAGTATCTGTTTCACCTCTGTCAATGATAGAGAGCATGCAGGATAAAATATCTGTTATTGTGGCTGACATATCATTAGATGTTATCCACACCAAACGACAGCTCTTAAGAATTGGAAGCATGTTTATTTTCAGAATGAAGTATAGCATTTAACTTTCTAAGTAGAGTACAGTCTACTTCCAAATTCTGCAGTTGATGTACTCCCAATTATGTTTTGATTGATGCAGCTACAGATACATTTTGGAAATTGGCCTATATATGGAATAAACTGGAGTTATTACTTATGTTAACATTTTGTCTGATAACATAATTATATTAATATAATTAATATATTAAATTAACATTTGTCAACTGCATGAAATTCATTTTCTCATTTTAATTATGAGTTTATGTACTATTCCTTTATGTGCTATTTTTTAAAATATATAAAGATAAGTCATTGCAGGTTGTCATATCTTACTTATGATATCATAACAGCCACAGTATATATGCAGTTAATCTCAAGCAAATTTTCAATGTTTATTACAAGGCATTCATTTCTGAAGGTTTTTTTAAAATGTGTAAGATATTTGGCTTTCTGTACTCTTAAAGTGAGTGATGGACAAGATTTATATTCTTATATAAAAATATGTTTATTTCCATTGCAAATGGAACTTTATTGTAGACTAGTTTATCTATGTCTAGAGTGTCTTTAGGCATGAAGATATAATCTTTTATAAAAGGCTTTGTACTTCATGAAATCTAAGCAACTTTATTTCAAGGTTTTGGCCCACGTTCTATAACAGTAAGAAGCAAAATATTTTTTTTCACCGATGTTGAGTACAAAGCCAATTCTTTCATAAACTCCAATCTAGCCAAGTATTTAGAATTGTCTTTAAAGATCAGATCACAGTGCTTGGATTAGATAATCTTTTTAGAGGTTTATAGTATTAAGTAAAAACTATCAGCATGTGCGAGTTTTGGAATGGCCGCTCCGCTTTTTCGCTCCGTTTCAATCTGACGAAAAAGCGCTGGGAAACCTTACCAACTGACAGCATAATACTTCGGAAAGGTCCCTGGGGATGACTGAGATCCGGGAGACCCGAAGAGACCAGATAGCTGGGGAGGTCGTCACTCCCGGACGATCCAGACCTTTTTTTTTTCCCCGAGACATTTTATTAAGATTTATAGGCCGCCCTTCTCCCTGAGGGGACTCAGGGCGGCTTACAATCACAGGGAANTCAGGGCAGCCTCCCTCAGTAACCAAGAAAGAAACCACTCAACTCCATTTTGCAGAATTAAGAGTACTTTTACTGGTTATGAGTAGATAGCAGCTCAGCAAAGCAAGATCTGAGGCAGAAGCACGCGTAATCATAGATATCAATATGTGACCCAACTCCCTCCCCCTGGTGACCCCATCCCATAGTCCAATCCGCACACCTCACAGGTGTCATGTGGATTTCATCTTCAAAAAGCATCATCAGGTTGGTATGCCGGACAGTTGGCCTTGGCAGCAAATCCACTATCCGCAGCATGCGCAGTAGATGGTGAGAACAAACTCCCTTTTTACAATCACTCCTGTACAGAAAACTTCCCCTCCCAAATACCATGCCTCCCGCTCCCTGTTTCAATGGCAGCCGAAAGCAAGTAGCGAAGCAGAGAGCAAGAAGTGACAGTCTTTCCTGATATTGCTGCTTGTCTGCGGCAGGGCTGATCAGATAATGGCAGCAGTGATGAGGTCTCACTTCTTGCTCTCTGCAGGAGCCAGAGAAGGTGGTGGGAACTCTGGCTGAAGTGGGGAGGTGAAGTAAATAATGGCTAGCTATGAAGCCCGTAAGGGGAGGAAACAATGGAGACCTGAACTCCTTCCCAAATCTCTGAAGTGCTTATCTCAAGAGAGTGCATTTAATTTGTCAAGACTGGCAGCAACAAAGAAACTTCTCTGAGGAGCTCAAGATGTCCCTCTGCTTCCTTGTGCCTGGCAGGCAAGAGCCACCACCGGATCCCTTGGGCTTCCACAGGGAGCTTTAGTTATTTCTTGTGCAAGTCTTGGGGTTTTGTGGATGCTGGCCTTGGGAAGACTTCTGCTGCAGTCAAGGCATTTAATCTTGACTTTTGCAGTAGACCTTCTGAACAATCCTTTTCTTTGCAGGAGGTTCTTGGAGAGGATAAATTGAAAGCCATCCTGAGAGAGCGGGAGCTGAAGATTTACTGGGGAACAGCCACGACGGGCAAGCCTCACATCGCCTACTTCGTGCCCATGTCCAAGATCGCAGACTTCCTCAAGGCTGGCTGTGAGGTTGAGCCAACTCTGCCTTTGTTTTGGATCCTTAGCGGGGAGTCCCGTGGTTGCTGCCGCCACACCCTGAAGGGCCTGGGGAATATTGGTGACCCCTCGAGAGGGAGAAATGTGCAAAGCTGGCTGGGGAATTCTGGGAGTTGAAGTCCATCCACTTTAAAGCTGCCAAGATTAAAAAACGCTGCCCCATGTGACTCTTAAGTCACTAGATAAATCACACCAGGATGTATCTCTAGGGTGGAAAGGGAAGAAGAGGCAGAAGATAAAGGAATGTCTTCTGACTCCCATTGACTTAGTGGGCACAGTCATTTCATTTCCTTCAACCAAACTATTTAAACTGTGGCCCAAAACTCACAACTGCATGGGAATCCTACATTCTAGGGAATTAACTCCGAAATCACTTCCTGTCCTCAGGATTTTTAGAATTTGCTGCAGTTGGTAATGATAGTGATCATTGGGTGGCTATATAGGGTAGATGGGATTGTGATTTTTTTAGGTTCTGGGAAAGGTTGAGCCTTTAAAAATTCTCAGTCCAGTTGGTGGCAGTGGAAGTGGCACTCTGCAGTGGGAGATTGGTAGACTCTGCAGGGCTTTGAAGGTGAACAGTCCTCAACTCTGAATCCTCTCTGTTTTCTCTCTGGGGATTTGGACGAAAGAAGAAGGTTAGCCTTCCCTCAATTTTTCATTACAAGGGAATCGTGTGAAAATCAGAACTGCCCAGAGTGGGTGGGATCTTTACCTACTTTGGGGGGTAGTTTAAGAAAGATGCCTCAGAGTTGTGCAGCTCTCTTCAAATCCTCTCATCCTCCAATCAGGCTGTGTTTTCATTCTGGCTTTGGCTTTAAGGGTAGGGGGATTTTCTAACTTCACAGACTCCCCCTCCCCCCCCCCCACACACACACATGACCCGGGCAAGGGAAGAGACATCATCTCCCCTTGCCTCACCAAAAAGACAGCAGCCATATGACACACACACACCCCTTCTCTCAGGTGACCATTCTGTTCGCTGATCTCCATGCCTACCTAGACAACATGAAGGCTCCTTGGGAACTTCTGGAATTGCGTACTCAGTATTACGAGGGGGTCATTAAGGCAATGCTGGAGAGCATCGGTGTGCCTCTGGAGAAGCTCCGTTTCGTCCGAGGGACTGACTACCAGCTCAGCAAGTAAGTTGAGTGGGCCGTGTTCACCCTCTTTCTGTCCTGGGAAAGATAGAATCTGATGCCAAAGGCAGATTTTTTAAAATTACTATTTAATATACTTGTATGCCCCTTGGCTCCCAATGACTCTGAACTATTTATAACAAAAACCAATAAAGCCTAAAAGGTGGAAGAAAGATACCAAGTGTGACAGAGAGGTGGCCTGGATTGGGAAGAGTCTTTCCCCCTCACCAAGGGCCTGGGTGGGGCCATCCAGTTGAGGGGAAACTCATTTCAGAGGGCAGGCGCTTCAACATGCTTCAGCAGGTGTTTCACCAGCTGCTTCAAAGGCGCATTTCAGGTTCCCAACATGATATTGTTTAATTGATGAAATCCAGATGTGGCAACCCTGTTGGACCAACTGGCTGGGTTGATATGATGGGAAACAGGCGGGGTCCCTCAGGGCAGAAGGCTCCCTGCCACTGTTTAGGGGACAACTGGCGTCTTGGATCTCACCCAGAAGAAACTGGTAGCCTGTGCAGTTGGTGAAGCAGAGAGGCGTGCCCTGTACTGCTTATGGCACTCCAATGGTTTTTTGTTCTTGTTACTATATTCTTTTTGTTACTACAGTTCTATTTTAATTATACTTTATTTTTTAAAATTATTGATAGTTTTTTCTTGTTCTTTTAATGGTGTGCACTGCCCTAAGTCAAAAGTATGAGATGGCAACTGTATAAAGTTAATTAATTAATATTGGACCTGTTGAGACTTCTGAATAGTCTTCAAGAGCAGCCCCACATACTTTACATTTGAGTAGTCAAACTGACCTCAGGAGATATATGGACTGGAGCTCTACCCCAGATTTCAAAGTATAGAAGAAGAAAAGACTATTACTGTAACGCGCTCTACATGGGGCTGCCCTTGAAGAGTGTTCGAAGACTTCAGTTAGTCCAGAATGCAGC